CCGCATCCCGAATTTCCTCTGATTGCTTTCTCTTCTCGGGATGCGTGTAACGAAGACTTGTTGTAAGCTATCGTTCCCCAACGATTCCCTCTGTTCTTACATACAGCTGATGATCATGATCTCTTGCCTTCCAACACAAACTAAAGATCTCTTACCTGTGGTGGTATAAATATAAAGTTCATTTTGGTAGTCTTATCACAAATAACCAAGAGAATATAAACTGATGTTCTCTTGCAAATTACATAATGTTATTTTTAATTACCCTTTTTGGCGTCGCTGTCCAAGCAGAACTCACAGCATCTTCCCTCGACTCGAACAGGGTCCTTGCAGCGTGGAACGTTACATTTTATCGACCAGCAGTATAACTGACCGCTACTTTCACATTCACACGCTGTGCAAGTGAAATCTCCTCGGATCCAAATTTCTCCAGTTCGATAGGATTTCCTTGTGACCAGGTCATAACATCGGTCTTTGCCCACTGATATCAATTATCAAAAAAATATGACAGTGTTTAATGGGTACAAAGTCTTAACGAAACACTAAGCGACTCTCGCTTTAACAAGATGTGGGGACAGAACGCTGCGAGAAATCGATTCTCAGTCTGCGTGTTATTTTGGATAATAATATCCGTAAATGAAAAAACTACTAAGTCCTTAAATGATTAGAGAAGGGTGCAGTTTTCATGTAACATGGGTGCAAAATTTATAACACGACTGCAAATTTGGAACGCCAGTGCGATTAAATTAAAAATGTGCTCTATCCAAGTCAATAGTTGAATGACTTTTTAATAATAATATTATGAAAGTTTAAGTTTGACAAACGTTGTAATCTTTTTCAACCAATTAGTTGAATAAACTTTATGTAAAATTAAAGCACGCGCTATCAAAATTTAATTGGTTTAATTTTTTGGCTCACGATTCCTCAGGTAATTTGGTATGAATAAGCGCTTCTAGATTTTTCATACTTCAAACTGCCTTCGCCCTACAGCCTTGTCCATTTTGGTTTGGTCTGAAAAACTCACTCTCACTTATCTTTACAAAATTCTACTCTAAATCATGTGATCACCTGTACTAATTTTTTTTTATCGACCTTTTCCATACGACAGAATTTGTCCCGGAAAAAAGTCGTTCAAATTAAAATTCGCATGATTTAAGGTGGAAGTGTGCAACGAGTGCCGCAAACTTCGGTGCTTCAAAAATTGTATCTAAACACCTTCACTGGTTTTGCATAGAGTATAAAACCACAAGATAATGAAGGTGATCGCCTTACTCTTTTCACATCTGCTGATTTTAAGGTTCTCTGGTTTAAAATCTTCGCATTTCCACGTGTCTTCACCCGGTAGACATTGCAGTCCCCGGTCGCATCTTTCCTCATCCTTTTGGTGTGGCTCTCTTTTGCACATTTCTCCGATTGACTTTAAACAAACGTAACAACAGCCACACTTATCTTTCACCACCCCTGTATTGCAGTTAAGTATCTCGGGGCATACTTCCCGAGGGTCGGGACAGTTTCCTGCGCTGTCACACCAGCAAGGACTACAGTCTGAGAGAACTGGAAGCGGACTCTGTGCTGTAGTGCACGACAGAAATACCACCAACAACGCCGATGCGAATGAATATAATTTTTCCATGGCAACGAGGATCTAAGAAGGATAAACTATTCAGTATTAAAATGGTGAAAGCCACAAATCGCAGTCAAGTCCTGAACACACATGTGCGACGTTTTGACTGATGAGCACATGGCATGGTGTAATGGCGGAAGAAAGTAGTTTTTTCGGTGCAAAATCTGCACAGATACTGTGTATAAATATGCACACAGCGTTCGCGGTAGACCCACACTAAAAGATGTCGAGCGTTTTTGGAACGGGTTGATCCGCGAACCTTATGAGAGATCTCTTCATGAACGAACGTTTATGAGTGAACCTTTCATCGAGAAACAAGCTATATCAACTGAGCCAGCTAATGTTAATTGAGAGAAGCACAAACGCAAATCTCATCGTTTCTTTCCAACAGAAAGCCAGAGTGAAAGTAAATACGAGTCTAGTTTAGTTAAAATTTTTCGCTATTTTCCCAAACCAACTCTTCTCCTTTATGATCATTTACAGCAAATATTTCAAAAATCGCCATTGTTATTAAGTCCTGCTATAGACGAACATCTCCCGAAGTCATTGACGTTGCATTTTGAGGAAGTAAGCAAGACGAGCAAATTATGTGCACGACACAAGTATGTGTAAGGTACGGTTACAATGTAAAGCTTCTAGAGATTTCAAACAAAAATTAAAAGGCTCATTCGACTCAGTAGTTGAGGATCTCCTGTATAGACATCTTAAGGGGAAAATCGACTGGAACGCCAAATAGCCGTTTAGGATATCATAAGCTCAGTTTACAGACAAAAGTGTTTTTTTTTTCCTTCAAGACTGTGGTAGCCCACAAACGCACTGATGTGCTAGTAGCTGGAAGTAAAAGCATAGCCCAGCATGTTCCCATGACATTAAAATGATTGCTATGCATGCCATCTGGATTGCACTTAATGCTTAATTAAACAAAACCGTGACATTTCTTAGTTGCATTACATTGAAATCTTTCGCATCTTTAAACTGTACTTTTCTTCGTTACATTACATTGAAATCTTTCGCATCCTTAAACTGTACTTTTCTTCGTTGCATTACATTGAAATCTTTCGCATCCTTAAACTGGTACTTTTTGACAAATCCGTCGATCAGACCGCTCATGCTCTCTGCAGTGAGCAGAAAAGTACTCTACCTTCCACAGCATGATCGGACAAAAATTAATACCAAAAGCTAGCCAAGATTGAATGAATATCAGAGAACAGCACCTTTCTTCATTAGTTGCTTTAAGGAAAAATAAATAAAGAACGTGTATCTTTGAAATAAAAGTCCCATATTATTCCGCCAAAGGAAAAAAACGCTCGATATCAAACCACATGCCGCTCAGAATGCATCAAAACAAGCAAGCTATCAGATTCTTTTTTAATTAAAACTCAAAGGACAGATAATCGTTTACAAGAACACATTTTCTAAATGAAAGAACCCAACGAATTCACCGAAGTACAAAAACAGCTATGCCAGATTTTAACACGTAATTTTTTTTATACTATAAATTTTTGGGAGGAAGTTTTTCTTAAGCAAGAAATATACGAACGATTATCAAAGTCCGCCGTTTTTCATTCCATCAAGGGAAATATAGAAATACTTTAAACATTGAGAATGTATTCTCATATCTCTAAAGTCCTAAGTAAAAGAAGAGAAATGGAACCAAAATAACAAATATATTGTAAACAGATCTCCCCAAATAATGGAATGAAACTTCAAGTGTTGGAAATTCAATTCTCAGCCTTTTTTTATGAGAGAAACATCCGTTCGACCAACGAAGCTTTCGTTTGCATTCAGAACTTTGCTCATTATCTATGGACACTTTTACGGCGATAGATGTAAGTTCTGTGGTATATCCTCTCCCTTCGAAACTTAATCGGAAGGACACTAACCGAACAAAATGCTGAATGGCTCAATTCATTTTCATGCCAAGATGTTGAAGTCTGTACACCCCACAGGGCTGGTGCAGATTGTAGATTTCTTTTCTCATTTTCTTGCTGACGCTTTAGAAATTTGCTAGTTGTAATCTATCGACGCAAAGTCATCTCTTATCATCCATTTCTATCCGATTATGTGATGATTAAGTGGTTAAAAAAGAACAACAACAAAAAATACTCAAACGAAACGCTTTTTCTATGTTACGCAGGGCTGAATTGAACCCACTTAATTACAGACAGCCTCACCTGATCAACGAACACGTTTAGATTTTCTTCATGGGACTTTTTCGTTAGCTAAAATCGCTGACCAGATTCGCCTCCTCCTTTCTTCTCCTGAGCTATGTTTTGTATATTTTACCACGGCTGTAACATTACACTGAATTGGTCAAGAGGTTAAATCGGCTTTTTTTTAAGGAGAGAGTATTCTAAAAATCCATCTTCCACACGTCTGGAACACAAAGTATGCTCTAGAAGAAAACTCCTTTCAAATTGTAACCTTGTTTGTCACCACCTAACACATACGTAAATATAGGCATAAATATAGGTATCTTCTTATTGACAGTTAGTTCTCTCTTAACGACAGGAAGGAATCATTGAAAATTTGAAAATTTGAAATTTTGATTGCTAAGCATGTTTCTCCAGATGGCATGTTATAATCCGACTGAAACAAGCAAATGGTGAACTATCAGTTCTATCATTATATGATAAACAACATTATATAACAATGTGGAAGTATCCGTGTGTGTGTGTGGCCTTCATAGAGTAACGTTTTTCCTTTTTAAAGATGCGTCTCGTCGACGAGATATAAAGGCTGTACTCTTATTTCTGAAAATTAATTCACTTTAACTTTACCTAACATGACAGAAGGCCTTGTCTTAAGGTCTGGTCTATCCGTGTTCAAGTTGTATCCCAATTATTTGTTAATGAGGAAATAAAAGCTCAGATGTTTTGTTTCAAGTTTCAAGTTTATAGTTATCTTGTCGAGAACATGCAGCAAAAAAATTCAAAAAAAAAAATATTGCTCTTCAAAGATTCGGGTGTTGGAAATAGAAGCAGTTCTGAATACCTCTTCCGGAAATTAAACCACCTTTCGTAAATATATATTTTAATCGTAAACCAGAGCTTCTTTGGGGGACAAACGTTGCAAGTTGAAACAGAAAAACACGATGGAAGGTTTCTATGTCTTGGGTAACTGTTTACCAAAATTATTGCATGTACGCTAAAAATGTTGTCCGACTTCGCTTGGCCCGACATAGCTCTCTTTCTCAAATGGCGTAAATGTTATCATTTTGTATTCGTGCCGTTACAAAATTGACAAAATACGGATATATTCACGCCAGGAAACTGTCAATTAAATAAGCAATAAGACAAGTTAATTAGAAATAGAAATTATATGATCTGAAATACACGATTAAAAGAGTAAGCATTTATAACATAGATTTTATAAGAAATAGGCAATGAATCTACAGCTCAAACCTAATAGTAAGAACTTACTTCTGTCACAGGTTTCCAATGAACATTGACCTCTGACCTTCGTGTAACCCTTCAAGCTAGTTAGCAAACTGAACAACTGCCTGTGCACTAGTAAAACACATGCAAAAACTGACCTGAAAAGTAATAAAGTTAATTAATGAAATTGATTACAAGCGATCAATAATTGATAATGTTTTGTCACGGTAACAGCACTTCATGGAGTATACCTTAGTTTTCCTAGCCTCGACAACATAATTGCTTAAAACTAGACAATTTTCCCTCAAGAGAGAGCCTAAGAGGGCTCATTTACATGCACATAGAAGAGTCGTGTACAGAGAAGCACTCTAAGCGCTCATGCGAATCGAACCTCACGTGATGTAATGAGAGCGCTTCTCTCACCGATAAAAGGAATGTTCTTTTCTATCATCATAATTGCTGTCGTAATCTATGTTCAACTCCAGGTCAATATGTTCTTGACCCTGAGATTTTTTGTTTTTAAAAATTGTGGAGTCTTCCTCAGTGGCTATTTTGTTATCATTTGACAAAAAAATCAGAGTACAAAAAATACGCACGACCAAAAGACATACTTCATAGAATACCCAGTTTGAACGGAAACCAACTCTTTAACGCATAATTAATCATATCTCTCCCAATTTGTTGAACAGTGACTCAATACAGCTTCTTTAGCAAAGTATGCACCGACATAGATGGCGTTCAAAGGATATATGATGAAAACGTGGTTCCAAACTTTTTTCCCTATTTTGTTGGCACCTGCACTTTTCATTCATGAGTTTCCCAGTGATCAGTTTGGTTAACTGGATCGGTAATATCATCAAACGAATTTTTCTCAGTCTAATGGAGATACTTATAGCTTTTAATTAAACGAGTTCGAATTTTAATCAATGTGCGAACGTTCGAATAGATCATTCGGTAAAGAAAGCTCAGAATCAACATAATTTTACGATGATTTAAGGTGGCTGTAGCAGATAGCATGCTATCTTAAAAATCTCCACCCCATCCCTCACCCCCCCCCCCTCCCGACACTTTAGGGGTGGGGGTGTTCATGCACCTTGCGACCAGCGAGGACAGTTCTATTGATTCTCAGATCAAAAGAAAATCTTAAAAGGAAAACACAAGGAAATTTTATTAAATTTGAGTCGAAAGCGGCAATATTAGTAGGGACAATGGTTTTTTCCATTCTCCCCCAAAAAATCAGTGATTTGACTGACGTGACTGAACAAGGAAAAGTATTCATGCACCTTGCGACCAGCAAGGACAGTTCTATTGTTTCTCAGATCAAAAGAAAAACTTAAAACATTATTAAATTAAATTTGAGTCGAAAGCAGCGACGTTAGGAAGGACAACGGGTTCTAGCTTTTCATTCTCCCCCAAAAGATCAGCGATTTGTTCCATTCGCCACAACGAGAAAAGTCTAGAAAGACGTTGATGCCGACAATATATAACAAAACACTCATCGGCTGAATCGAGTGAAATAGGAATTCATTGCTTTTTTCAATCCCCATAGTCAGATTGGTAATCTGAGATGAAAAATCTGCTTTTTAATTCTGTACTTTAATACTATTTGCAAAAAATGACGAAACTTTTAGATCTTCTGGAACTTCAGAAATATAAAGCGCAATTAGCTCCCTAGTTTCTATGCCATTACCGCCAACAAGTAAGCAGTATGTGAAATATTTAGCCCAAGTTCTTAAAATCCGGAAATTACACTTGCTTACAAGCATTTTTAGGGTTTTTAAATTCCTGAATCAATAAAAGAGGCAGTTACGTTCGCATGTTCTTACAAAACTCGGATTGAAATTTCTGCTCGGGGAAAACGATTAATAAAGTCTTAAATCAAATACATAAATTTAGTTTTATGACACTAATGCGTGTACCAAAGAGTTTCTTATCCTTTGTTGTGCTTATGATCGACAATTAGGGTCTTACTTGGGACGAAAAATAAATAATTGTGAAGGACCGCAAAACGGAACGGGGGGGGGGACGAACTGAGCATTTCTAACCCCACAGGGATTTTGTCAAAAACTCATTAAAGATAACTTGGATCCCTAAACTCAGGTAAAGTTAGATAATTTAATGAAAAGATCACCTAGAGAGAGAGAGAAACAGCTCCCCTAACGAAATTTTCTACCCAGTGTTCATCAAAAGCTTGCCCTCAACCGGGTTGCAGAACGACGTTTTCCCTCAATTCGTCCTCGAGGGAGCCACATAGCATATCCCGTGTTCACCTCCCCCCCCCCCCCCCCCCCCCGGCCTTGACAGGATTGTGCCAAGTTTTAGATGTTAAAATTATTTGAAAACAATTATTTTTAGTCTGCAAAGTCGTTAGAACTGCGTCGTCGTTAAATCAAAGTTGGCCGGCTTCGGACACTCAACACGAAGACAGAAACGTACAACATCCTCACGAAAACTCTTAAGACACGTATCCAGCTTTAGCTAAAAATAATAGGGCAAGAATTATAACTGACCTGCTTGCGGTCCACGTCTTTGCTAGGACTTCTCTTGGCCCCTTCTAAAAGATAGAAGATCCTCTTCTTGTCGATTCACAACGATCCAGTTTAAAGGAATATTACAGATTTCTCCTGTTATTTGTGATCCAGACCGTTTTCAATTGATCAAAACATATCATGCGGTGTAATATAATTCTCACAGGATGAAAGGATCTGATTAGAAGACAAGTAATAGATAAAATGTCTGGTTTCATTTGAGGGGGAGGACTCCGGAATTTTATCGTATTTGTTGGTGATTGTGGGGAGATATATTCACTGAATAATTAAGCGACTCTTTCATTCGAGTTTCTGCGGTATTCAAGGCGTTTACTTTAAAACATTCCGTATCTCATATAAAAGAACTCTTTATGAGTTGTGCATTGTTCTCATGGCAATTCCAGTAAGACAGAATTTCCTCCGCAAAGGTCGGGGGAAATGACCCGTGAAAAACATCTTGCAGATTGAGGTGTTTAAAAAGCTTTTACCGACTTTTAGAACAGCATGCGCATTTTATTGACAGTTATCCGTTGTATTTATTTTGAGTTTGTTGAGATAAAAATCATCTTATAGAATTCCAAAACCTCTCTGATAAGCTTAGTTATGTGTCTCACGTGAAATGAAGTCAAGGAGCTATAGATTACCGAAGAATTATCACAATGACACTCGCATCTTTTCAAAAGGAGTGGCGTTTAAAACCTAAATGGAATTTTTCTCGGGATCACAGCCAATACCTTCCGAGATTCTGCGGGTAACACCGAACACTACAATGACTGCTACAATGAAGTCAATGAAGGCTCGTCCCATACACACTGTTGAGAATTTGCAGACGGGCAGCTTTCACAATGTTTCGTGAAATAATTGATCATTGCACTTATCATCCATTGGACGAGTGCTTTTGGTTTTGCCGACAGCTATGAAGCGTTCGCTATTGTTAAAAGGTAGAGTTAAAGTCTGTTCTCGTGCCTAGTGGCCCGCCCTAGTGGCCCGTATGAAGCGACTAGGAGTTTTACTTCTTCCCCCTGGCTGGGGTGCTAGTCCATCGCAAGGTTAGCCCCCAGCATTTTAACAGGCTTCCCTGACAATTCGCCAATTCTAGTCCTAGCCTGAATGGAGAGAGCCACTGTGAGAGTGAAGCGTTTTGCCGAAGAACGCAACACAGTAATTCTCCTTACTATCTGCCAAAATGATTCTCATTAACTAGCTTGGAGAATTTGGTATCGGATCAATTTGTAATCCCATAATTGATGATATTTTTCTTTATTCTCATCACTTGTCTGCATAATATTATATAAATATATTAAGGAGAAATTCTGTCTTGGTCACTCACAAAAGTTAAAGGGTTAACTACCCTATAATCACTTCAAATTCCACGTATGATGTTCATATGCTACTACAGAAGTTATTTTCAAAGAGTGTCAGATTGAGAATAAAATTTCTTTAAAACCAATTGGGTTTTATAGGGTTCGCTTTACTGCACTCCGTGATTGGTTCAGAAAACTCGTGCGACCCTCATAACCACTGCAGCAAGAAACCAATCATTACTATCCGCGTTTTCCCGCGCCCGTGATCGTTTACTTATATGAGTTTTTATCGGCTCCTAGCGACACTTTCCTCTCCTCTGATGGGCTGTTGTTGTTTGCATTTTGGTTTTGTTGTCACGACACCCATCGGAAAAAGCCGTCCCTTTGTTTGTAAGGCAATATTTAGCAATACTGGATTATGCGCGCAGTCAATGAATGCATGTTTTAGTACATGTTTATAATAAAGGATCGTAGTGTTCTATGTAAACTGCCAGAATTATGAGTGTATCGTTCATCATTCTTTCTGCTGTTATTTTTATTACTTTATACGTTTTAGCTCCTTTTTACGTTTGTGTAACTGAGTTGAGCAAATAAGTAATTTTTCAAGACTTCACGTTAAAGGCAATATGAAGGTGCCTCTTCATGTTTCTGCGAACGTAACTTGAGAAAAACTTTTTGATTGATTCACAGCGGCGAGTGTTGCTAAAACCATATATGATTGTATTGTTTTCATTTCAGTTCTCTTCCTTGTCGCCACAACTCTATCCGGTGCGTCTTTTTCTTCGTCAGAAAGCGGCACATGTCCGTAACCTTAACTGATGATAAATAGTTGTGGTTTCCAGTTTTTGTCTATATAAATACGAGTTCCAAAAAACACACTCAAGACATCCATGCATCAATCTTATACGGACTTATACCACAAACGTCCCTATGAAAAACTTGACAATTGAGCAAAAATCCGACAGAGCATTTCCTGTCACATGTTTACTTCAATTTAATTGCAAAGGGCTTTTTCATCCTCTTTAAGACAGCAATTCGGCAGGATTTCCGAGTTTCGTCAACGTAAATGTTAACAGCTTAGGCGGGTAATAATGATTCAAATTGCGACAACGGAATTCCTACGGCAAAAAAATTAAAAGTGTCAAGCAAAACTAACAAGATAAGACTTTTCTCTGTTCCTGCGAAGGTAGGCGGAAGTGATATTAACAAAAATTAACTTTTGGAGGTGGAATGACGCGAATACGAGGGTCTCTATGAAGTGATAACTTTCACTGCTAGCGATTAAAATATTGGCAAGTTAATGACTAACAGTTAATTCTTTCCAATGTTTTAAAAAGGAAAAGGTTTACGGTTAACTTTTTTTATGACTAACGGTTAAAATTTTTCAATTATTGCGCTGAAATATTTTTCCATTTTAAGGCAACGGTTGATTATTGAGACCTTCGAAAACGCCCACATTCTAGAAGTTTTATAGAATTTCTTTAAAATTCTTGAATTGAGTTGACGGTAGCAGAGTAAAATACCATTTTACGTCTGATGCCGTAAACAGGAAATAGATATAAGCAGCCGAAAAAACTGTAGTTGTTAATTCCCTTATAAAACGGAGGTGGGTTCTCGGAAGGGCAGAATGACGGAAATGTCGCGTTCGTTCGTAAATATGTCTGTTAATGACACAGCTACCTGGATCTCTGATCATTTCTAAGTTTAATTCAGAAACTTTAAGTTAGTTTGGCGTGAACCACCTTCCGGCGCTCGTTTTTGATCAAAATTATTTCAAAAATTTAGTAAACATTACACCCTGAAGATGAAGAAAATATATTTAATAATCTTCCACCAGCAGAGCCAAATTTGAACTGAAATGGATTTCTCAGAATTCCGACGCACTCACGAAATTTGCGGAGGAAGTTCTCCAGAGGTAAGCGGCTTAAATATTTCCAGCAACATTTTCGTTTTTTATTTGTTGTATCGCTACCTGGTTTCAGAAAACAATAATAAAAATGATAATAAGGCTCATTACGTATTACGTAAGAGAGCTCAAAAGAATGTTTTCCCAGTAGGACAGACCAAGGGAACTCGTTTCTGGAAAATTCCGGTGGCTACCGATCACGGAGAGGTGTCTTTTGTTTGCTGTGTTTTTCCTTCAAAATAGAGATATCAACATTTGTAAAAAATTCAAACGATGAAATATTTGGAACTGTGACGGAATGAACTGGTTTTAAAGCTAAAGGTCACTCCGCTCTTCTTAAGATTTTTATTTTAAGAAGAGCCCCAGGCCCTTGAAGTTATCAGGAATTACAAGAAAAAGGCCTTGGGTGGCTTTGTCAATGAGGAATAAACCATTTCTTCCTTCAGAATAAAAATTCTGAAACAAAGGGCCGGAAATAACAGCATCTGACGACAACTACTTTTTGATTCAACAATTTTTATTGCCTCTGAAGCCTAAACCGTACTGCTTGTCTTGTAAGCGGCTGATAGTTACAAATTGAACATCTATCTTCATAAGTATATCTAAATTTTCCCAATATACCCAATAAATATCATTTGACAGCATAAATAAAATATCCGGCTAAAATTTGTAAAACGATAATACGGTTCATGTACTTTTACAAATTGGCTTCATTTGTGGCGTGTTAATGTTTATGGAATCGACTGAAGTTGTCAAAATTACTTCGAATCAGTCCAGCAGCTGCGATTCTGTGTCAAGAGAAAAAAGAAATCACATTTTAAGTTATACTTTCCAAAACATTTTAAAAATGCAAACCTTGGTTATAAATTCTTACCCAAAAAAAAAATGAAAATACTTGAACTCGGTCAAATATATAGAATTCTTGATTTTTCTTTTGTTTCATTCTCTTTAAAAATGACTCAATATCCTTTCTAAGTAAGAGCTGTTCTTTAGAATGTCAAATATACTGTCATTTCTTATTTTATTCCTTAAATTTTGGCCGCAAAGTCCACTTTCCCAGTGGTTCAGCATGCGTGGTTTCATACCTCAAAGAAATATTTATTAATCGGGTTAGTCGTGGGCTGTGTTTTTTCAACAGCGATTTAAATTATTTGTAATTATATTTCATCTCAATCTAGAAAGATTTTAACACCTACAAAAATAATCAGCAATCCCCCACAAATGATTCCTGACACGTTTTGGGTAGGTCCATATTTGCTCTTAATTATAGATTCAGAGAGTAACAAATTAGCCATTAAGTCAAGGATGAAATTTGACTGACTTACTTGATTGTTTCAAATTAATTCCACGTGAACCATTTTTTTGTTTCATCTTTCTATCACAACCTGGAAGTGGAGGGTCTTGGCTACACCACCACCAACGTTTAAATCTTCCAGCTGATCTCTCTGCGCGCCTGAGAAACGGTCTCTGCAATATCACATCTGCCAAACTGCAGCACAAACCGTAAAACCACTCGGTTATTTGAAATACTGGTGCCTATTAACCTCAGTTTTCAGACTGAACTCTTAAATATTCGGAATCTTTGAATCTCTGTTTGGTACAAGAAGTGTACGAGAGACTTACACAACCGTAGTGAATTCTCACCTTCTTCTTGTAAGACCATCCTTAGAGCGTAACAGCCATGTATTTTCACGCTCTCCCGATGCAACTCCCAACAGCACGAAAAAAATGGCGACAAAGGTTACTAACATTATGACTCCTTTCATTTTGTGTCACTGTGACAACTTCGGTACAGCTCGTGTCAGGTCACACCGATTTCGACTGAAATAATGCAACGTCTGGCTCGGAGCAGCTTTTTATACCTTTTTTTTACAGGTGGATTCCGCATGCATGATGATGTAAGCATTTTCTGATCATTACCGGTAAAGACCATATAAGCATTATTTTGACTTCCGTCCAATCAATTTTACTTGTCACAAAAATTCTGAGTGGTACAATTCTACGGGAAAAGTGAGCATTAATTCCACTGTGTTTAAAATAACTTCGACCGCCCCTGTTCCCTCTCTGCAAAAGGTCAATTATTGCATAGAACTGCAATATTGTCCAAACATGGCTATAACTTCCGACAGCTGAAAGGAAAATATTGTTGAGGACAAATTAGCAAACGAAAATTTTTCTAACGAATCAGCCTCTCGAGGGCAGACGAAGAAGGAAATTTTGCTGCCAAGAGAGTCCAGAGTAAAAAAAAACTGTTTTGCGTAAGAGGAAATAGAAAAAGAAAAAAACAAAGCAAATCTGCTTTCTTCAAAAAGTTGATTAGTGTGAGTATTGTGTTACTACAGCGTCGTTGATTGAAGGCAGGGGTTCTAAGTTTGTCCAGGTGGAATTTCATATAGGAATTAACTCATAAGACCTTTTTGTATAGAAGAAACCTTTAAGATAAATAGTCTACAGGCGTAGATGGACACAAACGCACTAAGAATAGACCAAGAAGTAACGATAATGGTTAAGAATGACTAAGGGTGTCAAGGACTGTAAATGACGAACTTTGCGGGTAGAATTACTTTTCACGGTTTGCCGGATGTCGTAAAGCTAGCCTGCGGTCAGGATAACGAACATCAAAAATAATACCACCAAGCACCAAGTTTTTTTCTGCTCACGTCATGGCTGGCTAATGATCGTTTTGCAGATGAATCATCTCCTGCAGTGAAAATGAAAGCCCTTTTGCAAAATCTATAAATACAGGATCGATACAAGATCCGCCGGCCGGGGTTATTAGTCTGGTCAACCATAACGGCTTAGTGGCAACACAGAGTTTATTTTATGACTCAATGATCAGCTTTTTTAATCGTTCAATCCACTATGACAATTTCTCTTTGTTCTCTTCTCATTTATCGAGCATATTGGGCAAGAATTAGCTTGACTTGTAATGCACGAACTTGTTCGGAAGTATGGAATTATTGAATTCTAATATCACCCAGCAGTGCTCTTTTACTAAATATACTGATTAAAGAAACCAATATCACTGACTAGACGATTCTAGCAAGTTACCTTGCACAGAAAAAAATGTTCAAAAAGAGTCGTTTCTTAATAATTAGTTATGGTTTAGGTTCGGTTTTACTTTGACAACAGGTGTAGGTGGGGCGTTGTGTAACAGGTCATTCACGCAGTCGTGTTTTAGTTTTTTTTTTCTTTCTTTTCTAACCGCAGAGGAGTTCTATCTACATATAATTCCTGCCTATTACAGACGCGAGTTCGCACACTCAGTTGTTTGATATTAGCTCGGGGAAAGATATTAGATGCATCATTAATTCTTTTGGTAGACATCTGATGACAGAGTTGGTTTTGCAACTTTCTTTGAAGGAATAATGATCTTGAGCTTAATTAAGCGGAGGGCATAACTACGAAAGAAGGAGTTTTACTAACTTTTTCCATAAGCGGCCGCCGATGATATGATCGGTGACTAAGCCCGGAACTGAGGGGCGTACGGCGAAACCCAAACACGAAGACCCTGCTCGTAAGCTTAACCGACGACCGCAAAAGGTTTCTAGGCGGCGATAGTTCGCGTAACCGGAAGTACTGCAACCACTAAATCCCTCTGTAGGAGTATATAGTTTACTCCGGTCAGTTAGGGCTCGATTGCGTCTAAACTAGCAAGAGCAATGACCAACTTTAGCACACTCCTTTAGCACACCAATGTTTTTATGTTTTTCGTATTAAAGATTTATCGAACTCTTTTTTTACCGTCAAATAAATTTGATGTTTCAAGAAGATGAAAAATCTTACTTGATTTCTCACGCTACGACCGATGTTTTCTCACTTTGATGTGGGGGCATGAGTGTTTGGGAGAGCAAATGACGGGGTAACCACTCCCCAGAAATCTCACTAGGCAATCGGTTCCGCATGTCCGTTTTCCTCTGATGTGTAAGGCTTGTCTCTGGTTTGCGTGGTGAAAGTGATCACACTCTGCCTTGAATGATGGCAGAGTGTCATGAAGGGTCATCTAGGCCAGCCCAAGCGTTTTCTCCATCTGGGCCCAGTTGTATAAAGGACGGATAATGCTATCCAACGGACAGTTTGCTGTCCAGCGCATGAATGATGGCGAAACATATAGCGTTATCCACCAGAGAGAGATTTATCCAGTGGATTGTGTCATCTGACCTTCGAACAACCGGTGATAATCGGATTAAAAGTGACGTCCACGAAAAGTTGAGCCCTAGGTGAAAATGGGTTGACGTTCAGCGGATTAGTAAAAATCTAACATGGCGGACGAGCACATATGGTGAACTTGATAGTAATTATTCGTTTCTGTCCTTGTTTTGGTGTAGTTTTTCGTTTTATCACTAGTTATGGAACTATCCAGAGAACTGGACGAAATTGACCAAGAACTCAAGCAAATTGAGACACAAATCGAAACTTTGCTAGAGAGACAACAATTTCTCCAGTCTCAAAAAGAGTTAATTCAATCGCAAATTTGCAGTCAGCTGGTCCCTCGCGAACCTAGTTGTTCACAGAAAAAAGAAAATAATATAGAATGGTCAGCAAAGAATTTCTCTTGGTCGGAAAATGTGGAAGCTGCTCGAAAAAACACTTTTAAGATCAAATCTTTCCGTCCTCTACAGTTGGAATGTATAAACGCAACAATGTCGGGCTCGGATTGTATTTTAATAATGCCCACCGGCGGAGGGAAAAGCTTATGCTTTCAGTTGCCAGCTGTGATTTCGAAGGGGATCACTCTGGTTGTTTCACCGCTGATTTCTTTGATGGAGGATCAGCTCATGGCTCTAAAGGAACTGAAAATTGATAGTACGTTCTTGAACTCTACTTGCTCCAAAGAGGAGGTCAATGCAGTACAAAATGCTATGGTAGACAAGAAATCCGGTTTGAAATTATTGTATGTAACACCAGAAAAGATTGCCAAGAGCAAGAGGTTTATGGCTAAACTAGAGAAAACATATGAAGGTGCACAAATTCACATATCAAAGTTAATGAATTGCAATGTTAATAAAGTCTGAGCGGGAATATGTAGTTCTAAAGAAACTCCTTTTTTTTTTTAAGGTGGCAGACTATCACGAATCGTGATCGATGAAGTACATTGCACAAGTCAGTGGGGCCATGATTTCCGTCCTGATTATAAAATCCTAGGGATTCTGAAGCGTCAGTTCCCTGGGGTTCCAATTCTGGGTCTCACAGCAACAGCAACATCAAAAGTTGTTGATGACGTTAAGAAGATTCTTGGCCTTCAGCAAAACTGTGTATTCTTCAAAGCCTCCTTCAATAGACCCAACTTATTCTATGAGGTTAAAATCATCTTATTACTTTCTAATTTAAGCTGAGTTATTAATTTTAGACATTTTATTCAATTTTATTAAAATGACTGCATCATGTATTGTTAGTAAACAGAGTTGGTATTGACTATGAAAAAACCAGAAAACAACTGAGTATGCTATTTGCAATAGAGTGTATATAACTGAATCAAAAAAAACAGAATAGCTAATCAGATTAATCCTTTAACACCCATGGGTGACCAAGACAGAATTTCTCTTTACAATAATTATCAACACAATATCAAGCAGACAAGTAATGAGAAAAAAGAAAAATCTTCATTAGGAGATTATTGGTTGATCCAATACCAAATTCTCCAAACAAACATCACAAGAACTATATGGCAGACAGTAAGGAGAATTACTAATGAGATCTTGGGAGTTAAAGGATTGATGCGAGTTCACAGTAAAATCAAGCAAGCTGCCACAAGATCAGCTGCAATTGGTTTTAGTTTTAAATCTGATTGGTTGAGACTGAGACTGAGTGTTCTGAACCAATCACAGCAAAGAGAAATTGAAATTTGCTCAATGAAGCTGGAGTCAGGAACTTTTTGATTGAACTCATTTTGAAACCAACTCAATTGGAGGTTGATAATCCTGAAAAAAAGTTGTGGAAAATCTTTAGATTTTGAAGAGCAAAGAAGTACCAATCCTACCTAAGTATTTACTTCATAAGCAGACAATAGTACCTGAATTTAAAACTGAAAAGAGCTTTTTATGCTGTGCACACATCCCATCTCTTGTGAAGGCTACCTGAGGAAATGCAATATCCTATCTTTGTTTGCAGAGTATTTATGAGGGTTTTTTTCTAGTATTATGTCATTTATTTATGTTTTACTTCACTTATCCTTTGTATTGTATCCCTTTAGAAGTTTTGTGATCAGAAAATTGGTAAACATTAAACAGATTCAATACTCTTTTAAAGGTGCTGCAAAAACCCTCAAAGCATGATGAGTGTATGGAGGAAATTAAGAAACTACTGACAAAGAAATTTCCCGGGCAATCAGGTATTTGTTTTGGTCTTGATAACTCAAGTTTAAATCTGGGGTTTATAATAAATTTTAGCCTAAACAGCTGCTGATGATGTAATTAGGTGGGGCTGTACCTGAAAAAGGAGTCGTAAGGCAAAACCCAGACACAGGCCTGCTCACAGCCTTAACAGACAGCAGTGAGAGGTGTTATAGGTGGCAGAGGATCACCTGTAACAGGCTTTTATTGAAACCACTGAAATTATAGTTGGAGTAAACTGGAATTTGGCACAGGTAGTTTTAACCCTTTAACTCCTGTGAGTGACCAAGACAGAATTTCTCCTTACTATATATATCTATACAATATCATGCAGATAAGTGATGAGAATTTAAGAAAAATATTAATTTTGGAATTACTTGTTAATCAGATATCAAATTCTCCAAACTAATAGAATGAGAATCATTTGGCAGACAGTAAGGAGAATTACTGATGAGATATTGGGATTTAAAGGGTTAAGGGAACTAGCCGCAATGAAAGGTAGCATGAGCTGTGGAGTTGATGTAATGGGAAGGGAAAATAGTGAAGAAAATCATGCACTTTTCATCTATTTTCCCTATTACCCTGCCTTTAGACAGCACCATACTTTATGAGGTTTTTCATGACAGTCAGGGGCAAGACTGCTATTTTGAAATTTTTTCAAGTATTTGGCAAAAGTCTTTAAGCAACTGGTATTAGAAATGCATTGAGGCAGAACATAATTTGCTTCTTCATCCTCAGTCATGCTTCTAAGTGTATTGTAGTATAACTTTTCTGGTGCTTCACTATGATCTTTAACCCTTTGACTGCTAAGAGTAACCAGCATCTAATATCTCCCTACATTAACACCCCTGAATCAAACATGAAGGTCATGAGAATAAATGAAATGATCACCAACTAAAAAAACTCTTGATCTTTTTAAGGGAATCAAAAGGGAAAAAGTACAGAGTGTACTTAAGTTAACCCTTTAACTCCCAGATCAAAATTTTAATTCTCCTTACTGTCAACCATACGGTTCTTATAATGTTAATACAGAGAATTTAGTATTGGATCAACCAATTATCCCCAAATTGATAATTTTCTTTATTCTTGTCACTTATCTGGTTGATATTGTATTGATATTGTAAGGAGAAATTATGTCTTGGTCACTTA